GGCCTAGCAAGCCCGTCTCTGCAGGATAGAAAACAAGTCCGGGAGAGGCTAAGTAGACCTGCTAGTTCTCCAGCTCACAGGACTGGTCACTCCAGATCGAGACTCGAACTTGGACCCAGGTTTGTAACCACAGTACTACCGTGCTTTGTGTGCTTTTCATGTGTGTTAATACATTTGTTTCTGGTGTGAAAGGATATTTAATAAATGGTCAGTTGTCTTTCTCTCATTAGCTCACAATTAGTATTTATACTGTTGAACTGTACTCTTTTCCCTTGGGGAAAGGAACGGAAAGACCGGCGGTCAGAATGAGGTGAGGCTCCATTCTTTATCTGATACCTCATCTCATCCAAGTCCCCAACCAGGGAGAAGGAGCAAATGTTCTCTCCATCTTTTAAAGAGAGGGCTCCACTGATGGTGACTTACTCAACTCCAAAACCAAGTCTGGGGGAAGGGCACATGCAGCAACCAGAGCAGTATCACCTGTAGAAGGCGAAAAGAGCTCAGGGGAGGGCTCAGGAGGTCAGCCTGATTTAATTTCAATCGATAAAAGATTACCACACTCTAAAAATGCTAGCATGCAATGGCTTTGCTCTTTCTTGACATCTAGCAAGTTTCCACAGCCCACATGTAACATTACCGTGAACCAGTGAAAGGAAGAGTCTACAGACAAGAAAAATCAACGCCACAGGCAGGCTGAAACCCAGGCTGGAGGAAAGGAAGAGAAAGGGCATAGTTAAGAAGAAGTGGGGAAAGGCTGGAAAAAAGACATCATTGCAAGGGCTCTCAAGCACCATCCAACAATCATATAACCATTCATTCGAGAGAGTTACTGAGGTCCTATTTTGTGCAAGATTGTACAGAGGGCAAAGCAAGAGCACAGCGACCATGGTGGCAGCAAGTAGCGGGGCTCAAATACAAGTAACTTCTGACCCCAGTACCTTGCACACTTGTCCTCAGTATAAAGGCAAAAAAAGTGTAAAATAATACTCTGTAAACTAAAAGCATTGTTGAAACAATTAAAGATCTAAATACCCGGACAGACACACCACGCACGTTCCTGGATCAGAAGACAGTGCTCTTGGGATGTCAGTGCTCCCCAGAGTGATCCGTGCATTCAACGTGGTCTCTCGATCACAATCCCAGCGGGCTCCTCTGCAGTAACTGACTAGCTGCTGCTACAATTCATATGGGAATTCGAGGGTCTCAGTAACCAAAACGTACTTGAAAAAGAAGAACAACGTGAGAGGACTTGGAATTCTCAATTTCAAACCTAACAACTGTATCTCTAGGTGAGGAGATTACAGGTCATTTTTAACTTATTTATTGTGTTTATCCTTATTTCCTAAATTCTCCACAATGAATATAACTTTTACAATAAGAAAAATAAAAGGTAAGGTATCTTTTAAAACATGCACACTGATGCATTCATTGGAAAAAAAATTTTTAACTATAAAGAGGTAAACAAATGCCTAGTGAAAAAGGACTACTTAAAAACACGAGTGCATTTACATTTTCCATACAATGAAAACTGAAAAGCACAAACACATCAAGTTTCTAGGGAGGCTAGTGCAACATATTAATAGTTATTTTCAAAAACTCTAATTGAACAATGAAAATCCAAGAAAGGGAAAATCGTGATTGACAGTCAACTTCAAACACATGGACAGCAAAGGACTAGAAACCCCAGTCCCTGTAGCTCTGCTACTAACTCAGTGAGAGAGGAGATTCCTCACTGAGGGGACAGTGGGATCCCATGCATAAGGCAGGATACACAGTGCAAACTGCACTAGACACAGGGGTGATTTTTTAAAAGAATTCTAAAGTTAGAACACTGCTGAAAAACTATAAAAACACTCTGAAAAACAGATCAAATCACACACACATATGTAATATATAAATACATGAAGTCTGCTCCCATGTTGCAAAGAAATACAAACTTATATTTTGTTCATTTATAGGCCCTGATTACTTTATCCCAGGTAGAATATTTTAACAAAAACAAATAATCAATACACTTCTCTTGTCATATCTAGTTGATAAGTTGGTAAGTTGGTAAGATATGGTATGTAACCATAATGTGTCTCAGATCTAAAATTAGTGAAAGTATCTTTGTATGGTTTCTTGAACTCTCAAAATCCCAAGCTTAATTCTAAAATAGATCTGAGCAGGATTTCTATATTATCTTTCCCCTTGTGAAATGAACAACAGAGTCTGTTGCCAAAATTCTGTTCTTACAATGATTCACGAGCACCGTATTCTAACTAAACTGCTGGACAGCAAGGCACTATCCAGACACTGTGACCAAACAAATGAAACACAAGGAAGACAGTGACCCTATTCTGGAGGGCTTATAATCTGTGTCAACACTGGGGTTTTTATTTGATTGGTTAGCAAAATAAAATCAATTTCTTCTTTGAGCATTCTGTAAGTCATGACTCTGTTTTTAGTGTCATGAGCAGGGAATAGTTAAGCATGACTTGATTAGGTCAATTAGCAACAACCATCACTGGAGAGTGAGTAATACAGAAGTTAACTGACAGCAGTGCTTCTGCCTACATGAGACCTAAAATAAACCTACACTGCGTTCTGCAAGGACAATGAGGAGATGAGATCCCCAATGAGAAAAAAACTAACAAGAAATCAAAAAAGTAAAGGCTTTTTCATTAATAACCCCGGGAAGGAGTAGAGTGTGGTGGTGACAAGCACAGATGCTGGGGACAAACCTGTGGGCCTGAACTCTCACAGCACCACCAAGTAGCTGTGCCCCTGAGAAGTCAGTGAGCTTTTCTGCATCTCAGCCTCCTCATCCATAGACTGGGGACAACAGCAGCACCCGTCTCCTAGAACGGTCCTAAGAATTCAGTTATTTTATATAGAAAGTTTATATAAAATATCTCAGGTCTTAGATATGACCCCAAAAGCACAAAGAACAAAGAAAACAGAGATAAACTGGAGTTCATCAAAATTTAAAACTTTGCTTCAAAGGACACCAACCAGAAAGTGAAAAAATACACAGGAGAAAATTTTTTCAAATCATTTATCTCATAAGGAATTTGTATCTCCAAGATTAAAAAAAAAAAACTCCTACAACTCAAAAATAAAAACACAACTCAATTAAAAAATGAATAAAGGATCTGAAAAGATGTTTTTCAAGTAAAATAAACTAATGGCCAATAAGCACAAGGAAAAGATGCATGGTGTCATTAGCTGTAAGGGAAATCAAATCAAAACCACAAGGAGAAACCGCTTTACACTCACTACAATAGGTTATAATACAAAAAAAACAGTAACAAGCACTAATGAGGACACACAGGAAGCAGAGCTCACAGCCCTTGCTGGTGAGGATGTAACACAGCGTGGCCACTTTGGAAAACAACCTGGTGGGTCCTCAGAGAGTTGAACATTTGGTTTCTGAATGACCCAGCAATTCTGCTTCCTGGGCACACACGTAAGAGAACTGAAAACATATGTCCACGTAAAAACTCCTACAGGAATGTTCACGGCGCCATTAGTCATCACAGCCAAAAAGCAGAAACAACCCAAATGTCTATCACCTGATGAATGGGTAAACACTGGGGCCCAGCCATACAGTGGAATATTATTCAGCAATAGCAAAGCATAGAGTACTGACCCAGGCCACAACGTGGACAAACCTTGAAAATGTTACTCAGTATGAAAGCAGTCAGTCACAATAGACGGTTCCATTTACATGAAATGACTTGATTTACATGAAATGTCCAGCACAGGCAAATCCTGAGAGAGAGAAGAGTGGCTGCCTGGGGCTGGGGGAGGATGGGGAAGATGGGAATGACTGCTTATGGGTACGGGGCTTCCTGTTGAGGGGATGAAAATGTGCTAAGATTGATGGGGATGCACAATTCTGGGCATAGAGTAAAAACCGCTGTACATTTTAATGGGTTAATTGCATTAAAACTGTTAAGAACAAAAGCACCTCGGGCCAGTACCTTCCCATAGTAAATGCTAATTGCTAACTTTTATTACAGGAAGAAGAAACTGCCCTCAGCATGAAAGCAGCAGATCAGCAAATGTGAGTTAACTGAAACTGGACAAGGGCATTTCACTTGAAACAGTTGCCGAGTGTACACGAAATACTCAGAAACGACAAGGAAAACCAGTTGGACATCACGAAAAAGAAAAGCATTGCTTCAAATGCAGATCAAGGATTGGGCAAGCCCAGCTGCTAGAAATGACCAGAGAAGAAACCTGGTTCTTAAAACAAGCACCGGAGCCAACAAGGAGACAGTGGTAAGGAAATCAGGCGGCAGAAAATCTGGAACAGTTTGCTACAAATAATTCTCCACTGAAAATTCAAAAATAAAATGAAAGTGATGCGATGCTGTGCTGACCTCACATGAACGGGCTTCCTCTGGTGCTCGGCAGTTCTATAACCCCAAATGAGAGACTCAGGAGAATCAGCATGGCTCCTGGGAGTCCCCAGCTGACTGCCCACCAGCACACTGACCACCATCACATCTGCCAGGGTTGAATTGCAGAGAAGACACCAACTTCTGAAAGGCACAGGAAATGTTGACAAGGGAAGAAAAGGCTGCAGTCAGTCCCAGGACAGAGGCCCTGTGAGCAGAGGCCAGAAGGCTGCAGGTGAACTGGAGTGGCCCTGGGGAAGGAAGGGACCACGGGGGAGCAGATCTCAATTCTCCCCTCGCTCTCCCTCAGGTAGGAGAGATCAAGCCTGCATCCTTCTCAGCTGGAACCATTATGGAGGACACCCTGGGATGACAAACCCTGGCTCTGGGTCCTTTCCTGCCAGCTTCAACCCCTCCAGCAGGGTCTAGACACCTCCCTGAATAACGATCCCACAGAACCACCCACACTTTTTAACTCCTGGTCCTTGAAACTTAATTTTAGCTCTACACAACCTAACGTAGGAACGTTTCAGAAATAAAAGATATTATATTCTTTTTATATCTCATCACAGGACTGATTTTTCTGATTGCTCTAAGCTGCTTCTACTTGGTAAAGCACCTAATTCTCCTGCAGGTGGATTCAGTACTTTCCATTGGGCATAACTAGCCAGTCTGGGCTCTCTGACTTCTATTGGTCAAATACCAATACACCTAATTGATTTCGTTGTTCATCAATTTCAGCCAGGAGGAGAGGGAGTGTCACTCTGTTCCTCAGCTCATGCTCAACTCTTTTCTCATCAGCAACTCAGGCCTCCAGAAAACAAAACAAAGCATTTGTTTCCCTTCCTCTACACTTTCCACAAACCCAACAGGAAACATCAACCTAGAGAAAGAATTCAACACAAATGTTAAAACAAAAATCTACAAACCTGAAGCAACTCTGTCTCAGAATCATGATACACAATGACATGAAAGTAAGTGTGTCAGGCACAAAGCATGCATGAGCCTGACCACCTGATTTCTATTCTTCAAAGGAAGGAAGGTTTTTGTATTTTATTATCACTCTTTGTCATTTCTGATTAAGCCAAAAAGTAACAGAGCTCATTATGAGATAATTAAGCACTGCAATAAGAGATTTTTGCTGTATTAAT